GACAAACTAATTTTGGTGAAGTTAAACTTCAGGCACCGAAGAGACGCACCAATGATTTTGTAACGCCTGGTCAACAAATTAGAAAAACCAGGTAAATAACATCATATTCTTGAAGAAATATACTAGTTGAAATGTTATGATATTAAATGGGATATCTGGTAAGGTTTGAGAAAGATTAAGCTTAGGCACAGGTTGAAGACGGGTCAGTGTAAGGTAGACATAATTAGGAAGATACCATGTTTGGTTCGAGTTGGATTAGGGATAGGTTAGGAGGCAAACCTAACTTTCAGATCTATGGCTGTTTCCAAAGTCACTAGTGCGTTCGCGAATCTTCGGTGCCAAAAGTCCACCTTCTTCAGTTTGTCACCTTAATGGCTTCACATATTTTTCAACAAACTGATTCGATACATTTCTTTAATTAACCAATAAAAAAAGCTAAAGCAGCTACCAAATGGCTTAAAACAAATAATCAGAATGATAAAAATGTAAAACCTGTTGAGATGATCCTGAGCAATAAATTGTGCTTGGTAAGATAATTCTGAGTTATCGTAACCCTAAAATTAGCCTTCTCCCCAGCTAATAACCCTAATCTAACCCTTAACTTTAGCGCTTGACATTAAAAACAAACAAATCAGATTAACAAAAGAGTTGAAGTTAAACACACTGAATTCACGACTAATAGCATGGTTGCATGTCCAAGGTCACTGACCGCAGATACGGTCTAGCTCGATAATGACCAAGAATAGGGCACACAGAAAAGTTGCAACGACAGAAGACAAAGCCCAGGCAACAGATTTTTTATCGAGAAAATTAAGCGATATGTTTAAATTTTTAAGTGCAGAGGAGAAGAAGTATCTTCTGTTTGGTTGTTTCCTTTCTGAAGGTTACTCCGTTATTGCTTTTGTGAGCGTTTATCAGAAAATGAAGCCATTTATCTGGGAATAATATTTCCACACCTTAAGTGACTGGTTGGTGATTTTCTCAAGGTTAGGCTTTGTAATCGTTTTTACCGTGACCCTGATTCGGCACGTGAACGTTGACGTAAATTGTTGTCAACGATTTTGGCTCGTTCGCAGCCAGCTCTCACCACACTCGCCTCCTACCGTCAAATAGGCTCACATGTAGGCCCTGCGACCTTCTGGAGGATACATCCTCTCGTTGATGATTGCTATGGGCCGGCTAGTTCGACCATATCCATCGTTGGGCCTGATTGGTATAACAAGTTTCTGTTTGTCACATCTTCTAATTGTATATGCCTGACCCCATCTTTTTGTGACTGTGAATGGTCCTTCCCACTTTGGAAGGAGTTTTTGTGAACCTGACCATCATCCAACTTCATACCTGCTGTCCCCACACTTCACTTGATCCCCACCTGCAAAGATAATGCACGGAGTCTTTTCTTTTTGCTCAGACTTCGCGGCATCCCTTCACTGTTTTTACGTTACATACCTGACTGCTTCTTTCCTTTCTGCCCTCAATTCCGCTTTTGGTGAAGGTACCAGGTTTCGTTGTGTATCGGTAAACATGGTTTTCTACCATACATCAGTTGAAAAGGTGGCTTCGTCAGTGTTTTCAGGGTGATAGCACAATGAGCTAGCAGAATCAGTGGAAGCTCCGTCTCCCAGTTACCGCCTTATGGGGCCAGCCACTCCTTCAGTGTACGGTTTTTTCATTCTGTCAAGCCATTCGTTTATGGATGATATGGGGTAGTTCTGGTCTCATTGATGCCCAGCTGTTTTAAGCGGGACGTTGATTCCTCACTTGCATAAAGGCGACCTTGGTCTGTCAGTACTGTCTTTGGTACGCCGTGGTCTGCAACGACATGTCGAACTACTGCATCTGTCACAGTCCTTGCGCGTTGGTCTGGGATCGCAACGGCGTCTACCCATCGTGTCACCAAGATATACTGATTCTTGTGTTATCTCGTGGCGTAACGATTGAGATATGACGCCAACCAGCCCCCGTCGTTCTCTCGTCGCATCAGAGTCCCGTGGGCGTTCACCCTTAGTAGATCTCTCTGTCGGAGTAGTGTGATTAGCTCCTTACTCGCTGTAGATTGATTCACTTCTATTCCGTTGTTGATCACCTGTATTACTGTATTTAGCGTATCCTCCAACCTTTGCCTGCGTGCAAGTCTTAGTGGGTCTTGTTCTACAGCATGCACTCTGTAAGAGACCTTGGGCAACTCAGACTCGTCTTCTGGTCTCGATAACAAATCTGCCAAGACATTTTCACTTCAAGGAACGTGTGAGATCGTAAAATCGTACTCCTGAAGACGCAACATTCACCGTGACAATTTCCCCCGTGGGTCTCTCACCATCTTCAAAAACTGTAGTGGCTTTTAATCAATTTCGATGTGGGACCGCCGGCCGAGTAAATAAGGTCTCCATTTGTCGATTGCCCATACCATTGCTAAACATTCTTTCTCTATCGTTGAATACTTTCGCTCTGTGTGTGTCCAAACCCGACTGGCATACTCGACGATTCCCTCACCCTGTCTTAGGACCACACCTGTGGCGTAAACACTGGCATCTGTGCACACTGTGAACTGTCTTTCAGGTACAGGTATTTTTAGTGTCATTTGTTGGTGGTCGAGCAGCTGTTTAATTCTGTCGAATGTCCTCTGCGATTCTTCCGACCAAACAAACTTCGGCTCCCTTTGTAGCCTGTACAGAGGGGCTGCTATCTCATTGAAGTTCCTCACGAACCGACTATAAAACGCTGCTCTACCCAAGAATTGTCTCAATTTTCTCTTTGAATTCGGAGCTGGGATCGTTTTTATCGTCAAAATTTTCTCAGGTAGTGGTTTAATCTCACCACTGCCTGCTATATGTCCCAAAAGAGTGGCATTCATTTTGGCTATCTGAGACTTCGTTTTGCCGGCACGCAGTTCAAACTCTTCAATGAGTCGCAGCGCGACTTCCAAATGGCTCGCACGGTCGCATTCACTTTACTGCTTGTGAGGAGATCATCACCATTCATGTCAACGCTTTTAAAGTTCTAAAGTAATAGCATTATCAGTCGTCGGAACGTAGACGGTGCGCCTGACAGTCCAAACTCCATGCGTTTAAGCCGATATTGTATCTGACACATGATGATTGTTGTCTCATCTCTATCACTTTGTTTTATTGGCATCTGCCAATATCTAGGGCGTACGTCAGGAACCGAAAACAAATTTGCGGCTTATGGGCGACCTAAAGTTTCTACTACAGTTGGCATGGGGCACGGCCTCAACTATGTTATGCTGTTTAACTGTCGAACATCAACTCAGAATCTATACTTCCCATTCGCTTTTTTGCTTTCAGATCTGGAGAGTTGTACAGTCTATCGGCTTCTTCAATAATATCTTCCTTTAGGTCTCCCGCACCTGTCGCCTTCGCATTGCAAACGGTGTTTTTTCCTTCACGTTTCCCAATGGAACATAGGGCTTTAATCTAGTGGCTTGAAGTTTCTTTGGCGGTGCTTATTTTACAGGATGGGATTGCTAGCCTCATACCCAACCTTTCCTCTCTACCAGCATCACTTCTGATTTAGCGAGGTAGAGGAGTGAGTCGGCCGGGGATCGAACCCCGGACCATGTGCATGGTTGGCTGGATGGTTGGTTGGATCCTAGCCTTCACTTGTAAGGTGGACTCATTAAACTAAAGGTTCGCGATCAAGTGTACACGTAATTTCACACTCTGTCGTGCTGCGTTCGCTCCACTGAACAGATCATCATCACACTTGTCAGCCACGTCTCGTAAACCGTTAATGCCCAGCTCTTGCTACGCTGGGGCTCACGCTGTTCCTTGAAGTTTCTCAGAAACGCTTAGTAATAACGGACGCAAAAACCAAAACACCGATTGGCCACTCGAGAATTCTTTATTGTAACACCAACATATAAAAAATGTTGCCACTAAGGTCTGTGAACAAATATTACAATAATAAATCACAATATTACTTCTGACGGTTTGCTACTGACTTCCTTCTGAACAGCGACCGATGAGACAATGACTGTCGTATTGATGCCTCCGCGAAAATTGGGGAAGTTGGTTTGAGCAAACAACCATGAATTGATCGTTCAATCTTCAACTACATTGACAACACTTCTGTTCTGAAACTGAAATATATCTCGTAGTTTGGACGATCAGGCTGGTGTTTTGTTTATTCTTTGATTTAAGCAGAACAAGTATCAAAGGAGTCGGGGAACAAGAACTTAATTCTGTGTGTTGCGTACTTTGCACGAACGTCAACATCCCTTTCTCTCCTAAGCAGGTTTTACTAATTCGTGGTACGCGGGCAGAGCATGTGTTGTCCTATGTCTCATACGTTGATAGCTTGACGCACTTATATAAGGGATAATCCTAAGGTTTTGTGAAACCCATATGCAACTGTGTATTGGGATGCGAAACTCTACAGTCTCCTTGCCATCCAAAAGGATGTTCTAACTCTTTGAGATAGGGCAGAGATAAGCCACAGGAGAATTTGTAGGTCTTGGAAACAAATAATCCCCTGCAAGGTCACGAAAACTTCATCTGCATAGCTATTTTATGGGTGATCTGGTTAGCACAACCAAAGTGAGACTCAGACAGTGTGTGCTTCACCATACAAGTGTTTTCAAACAATTCCTATCCTTCGATTTCCCCACTTCCCTGGGACTTCCAGTCTTTTTCTCCATTATTATACTGCATACTGTTGATTCGTTGGTTTGGTGTTACCATCGTCTGCCTGTTTAATTTTCCTTTTAAAGTCATCTTCATTGACACTTCCATATCATCACTCTCTTCTATTACAATGAGGGGCTATTTTGTAGGAAAGTAGTCCACTAAGCATCCATTAAAATAGCCAACTTTCATCTATCTCTGAGGTCTACTGGAGATATTGTAGGAGATTAACGATGAATTGACAAAGGTTGGAAATACTTTGAAGTAGGAGCAAAGATAGACAGTTTCAGCCAATTAAACCTTCAATTATGCCTTAATAGATATTGGATATTGACAACCCGGGATATTTGGACCTGAAGTTAGGGCGCGTAAGTATGTTTTATGTTGTGTATTGTAAGTTGTCTAACAGGTCTTGCAAAGCACTTCTTACTTAACTTGGTGGTTATTATGTCGTAGAAGAAAGTATTTACTAAAGCAGAGGGTGACAGTTTTACGCGGTAATGTTCTTACTCAGTATTAATAATGTGACCTGATAAAGACGTGTTACTAGTAACTAGTTAGTACTGACTGGCTACAGTTTAGTATTTTCCTCTTCCAGTTAATGGTGAGTTTAAAACAAACCAGCCATTACTTGGTAAATATAGAATGCTGTTGAAATCTAATCGTAATGACTGGTCTCTAAGACTCATATATTTGTGTATTACTCCAGATACTCCTGATCCTTCTTCAGTACTTAAATGAATTTTTCCAGATTAGCTCCAGATTATTCAATATCTTGGTTAGACTAAGGAACTGAATCAAAAGTGAACTGTGAATTCAGTACATGCATTGCATACGTGATGAATGATGTGGTTTGTTTCAGGTTCCTTTTGTAGATTCTTTGGTCGGGTTTTTGATGATGGTAGTCAAAATTTAACACCGCCCTCTTGTGAGGATGTTTTTAGTTCAAATGTAAGGTAGTTCGGTAGTGACAGTTTGAACTACAGAATAGCAATGAGCTCAAATCTCCTGTAGGTAGGTTGCTAGGCTTTGTGCATAGCTTCTCTGCCAAAATGCAGACAATATAACTGCTGTTGTGTATGTTTCATCTATGTTTGTTACCGGTGATGAGATTTTTCACTGAGTATCAGCACATCAGACACACAATTTCTCATGTGGTCTGTAAGTTAGAGGTGTACTTTCGAGAGTGACGATGTAGTTTGTGAACTTAAGTGTAATGATGTAGTAAGGGTTTTGTGTCTTCAGTCACTTAATCTTCTACGTAATTCTGGCATGCGTTGCAATTGCTTATATAGGAATTTTAAAAAATAATAAATTATATCTCTCATATTTCCGAATCTCGTACATCTATTACTTTATAGGCTATGATTCCTTGAAAATGCTTGTATAAATACGGATATCCAGCCATACTTTTAAATGAACAATTAACTTATTCAAGAGTAAATTACTTCAGTTCCAAGGAAAGTTGCCTTACTAACTAATTTTAGTTTCGATCAAAAGGAGTTTTAAAATACTATTTCGTTTGATATTTAGAGTCTAGTAGTTTATGCTAAAGGTGTATTAGCTGAAGTGAGAGTTACTTCAATACACAATCCTAGATTAATCGATTCAATTTGACATACTAAAATAACAGAAATAATTGAAAGAAGAGTGACATTTCATTGCTCGAAGACTAGAGATTTTCATGACAGTGAAGATGACAACTCAAATTCATCTTTACCACTGTTGATAACTTTGTTTATTTCATCAAAAAGCTTCAATATCAACTGTTAGCACCATGAATACTTTAAAATAGCAGACTAGTCCTATAGACGTAGTTCGGGTAATGTTCCCGTCTGACTTCTGAACTTTCCTTTGACGTAATTGAAGTAGGTTAGTATTGCCTATCAACATGTCTAACAAGACTGAATTTTGTGGGTAGTCTAGAACACTAGCATTTCTCTTGGCATTAAGTCAAGTTCTAAGAAATCTTATGCATGTGAATTCACCTTCAATTCACGAAACGTTTCAAAAAATAAAGTTGGTCCCTCCTGATGGATACCATTCTCTAAGAGCGTGTATCACTGTCATCCGAAGGAAAGTGGTTGGTCAAATTTGTCTTTATAAAACTGACTTCATCCGTAGTCTGAACAGGCAAGTGCTTTTAGCTGTTTCTTTTTAAATGTCAGCTCAGTTGTAACCACGAATTAACGGCGCTGCTTTTGAATGGACTCGACAGTCTCTGACTGAGACTGCCTTTCCTTATGTTTAAAGTTAGATTTGTTTACGGTTTGGAAATTTTTTACTGTTTGTTGGGATGAGACTTCGCAGACATTCCTGACGTCATTCTGCTTGTGCGGACTTTGATATCACCTAATAATGTAATCACGTAGTCATTAATTTGACGGCTCCTGATAATGTATAGCTGTTACTTCGAGTACCGATCGGTGGTATATGAGCGGAGAGTACGAAAAGTTATTGACAAATATGTCAATTATTCAGTATGCCTGCGAATTTGTGTACCCGAAGAGCACTTGGATTCCTTATCCCAACAATTATTCACAAGTGGATCTTGTAAAGGTGTTTTCAAGATACGGTATACAAACTAACGTCAAAGTGCTAAAGTTTCAGCTAGGATTTTGATACTGATGTTTGATCGCATTAATTTAAAAGGAAAGGAATAATGCTTCTAGGGCTCAAGCTGTTTGTAGCCGTCAGGAGTTAAGAGAAATATTATTAGAAATGGTAAAATGTAAAGTTTAAAGAAAGCAGACTAGCAGCGACGAAGAAAGGATTCTGATATGAGCATGTGAGTGACATTCTTTCCAGCTGCTAACTGTGGAAGTTGATAACAAGATGACAAACCATAGTTACTCTGAGTGATTTCCCAATTACTGTTGTAGCTTTTACTAAACTTCCAAAATATGCGGATGACTAAAGGGTATATTTACGTGTATAGGATGTAGATTAGGTTGCTATTTTTAATGATATTATAAATATCCTCCACTGCTTTATCAAAGCCAAAAAATTAGCTCTCCCTGAAGTGTTATTTGTTTTTTGGTTTTATGGGATTAATTTCCAAATTCCACAAGCCTGATTCATTCTTCCTGTCAGCTGATGTTTTGTACTCTGAATGACTATCCACAGCCTTTATTGTCTTTCTAATTTCTAATATTGACTGATTAAAGGGTAGTATGTTTTACTTTATTAAGACTATACATCTAACAGTACCTTTTAACAATAACAACTCTTTTGAAGTAAATTTATGTAGAATTCTTCATTAATGTTAACTTGAATATAAATGAGTTCTTTACAAATAACAACGTAAGTGTATGAATAATGCTTATTTTAATTTTAAAACAACCTTTTATGAGATGACATAATTCCTTTTCTGCATTAGGATCATGTCAAATAAATTACTTTTTGGAAAGTCTCTAACCTCATATGATGAGGAAGATCTTGATGAGTTGTTATCCAAACTCACTCAAGAGGAATTAGAACAGTTAAATGATGACTTTGATCCAGACAATTCTCTGTTACCACCATCCCAACGATGCCGTGATCAAACTACTAAAGCTCCAACTGGACCATTTGATCGAGAAAAGTTAATCAGGTGATAATTCATTGTTTATTTTTTTAGTTTTGGTTCTGGTCTCTGTGCTATCCTCGTCTATATGGCGAATCATCATTAATTCGACTATCTGGTTGCACTTCATGTTCATAAAAAGAATTATATTATTTTAGCCCTAGAGTTGCTACATTTGTGTTGGTAAAGGAACTGTTTGTTGAATTTTCCCAGAACAAGCATAACTTGCCTTGTGCTACATATTTTCTGAATGGATTTATGTTAATTTATCTTGGATAAGCGTATTTTGCAATAACTTCTGATAAAAGTACACATTGTTTTTCAGAAGTTAGTCTCTAGATAATACTCTAACTCGTCGCTCACCAGACACCCGCGTGTTTTGCGTTCATTTCCTGACCGATGTCCTGCTGAACCTCATATAGCCGGTAGTAAACCCGCTAAAAAGGGAAAGTTGAGCGTGAGGCTAGGAACATCGTCCAGTGAAAAGAGGCCACCGCTACCTAGAATTTAGAGCTCAAGCTCGAAGCTGTATGTTCCACTGGGAACGCAAAGGAATAAACAAACTTATCCCTAGTGAAATTGTCAACTGTGTTAATGTTCCATTCATATTTTGGACCCAGATATGATAGTTAGGAGTGATGATGTTTTTACTACTTCATGTGGTTTCCTGTTGGCACTCAGGTTGTTTTAATGTAAACAGGATGACCAGGTTTAGTTTGCAGACGGGAATAAATACTTTTTGATTCATTTACAGGTAATTGTAGACAATTAACGATAAACCACTAGCCTCGGTTTGCACATTCAGTCCCGCCACAATGGGTCATGTCCTAAATAATTCAATGTGTGATGTCTCCTATGGGCACAATGAATAACTCTTCTTTTCGAGATTATAAATATGTCTTACTACTGAGTGTCTGGTGCGCTTCAGTTCTACGTTCAAAGCTTTTTGCCGATTTCCACTGACCATATAGTATCATTCAGTGTATTGGGATGGTGCATCTCCTGTCTATATGCCATTTAAAAAAACTTAAGGGTTACTATCTAGCACTCGGTCATTATTGAGCAGACTTTTTAGACACCTAAAAAATATCAGATTCTTTAGGTGACTCTTATTATAACCGTAGATTCATGATTAATAAGGACAATGATTTATTTTGTAGAGAAATGTTTCTTTTCAGTAACTTTATTTTCAAGGGACATATTCCTGCTAATACTTTGTTCAGGAACTGTTAGTCGCTCTAAAATTGTCTAGTTAGTTCACAAAAGATAAATGATTAACATGAATCTTAACGGACGCAGACGTGTAGTTAAATAGTATTACGTCAACCAAAGTCAATCATTTTGACTAAGGCGTTTCCTAAAATTTCGCAAGTGTAATCCTATCAACATGCAAAACAGTGGTGAATACACATTTACATGTGGACGTAAATGATAATTTACCCTTCACGCATTGTCAAATCGTACTCCAGCTGGAGTATGACAGGTGTAAGTCAGCAGCTAAGTAGGTAGATGACTTTGGTTATGCTCTCTGTAAATCCTATTTTTTTATAACTGTATCCTTTGTCACTATGATTAGTTTTGTTTCTTTGGATATTTTTTCACTGACCAACCTTCAAGAATGTCTAGTATTGTTAAGAGTTTTATTCACAAGTAAATCTAAGTTCTTTGTCGATCATGTCTTTGGATCACATCTTCAAAATTCTAAGGCATGGTCTGTCTGTCTGTTTTCGACATAGAACATTGCACCGATGTGCGGCAGTTCAAGTCGCCACACCATGTAGCACACAAAGCCAGAGAAGAATGTAGAAGAAATGCTAAATAGAGACAGTAAACAGAGGTGTGAGACAAAGGAATAGTAATAACGAAGAACAATATAATTTCATTGGAAATCATGAGTCACAAGGAGTGGATGCATCTGCGTCAGCCGTTGAGAATGATTTTGAGCCATATCATCAATTGTTTCCAACAATTGGTTGTTACCGTCCCGAGGACCCCAACCAGGAAGTCTACACCTTCCTACGTAGCTTAGACTAACTGTTGTGGATTTCATTGACTGGTGAAATCATGTTTTGGTTTGACCTCCGCTAGCTCTTTTCCAGCCCAACCCTAGATCAGCTAACATTGCCCGTCGAGGAAGGCGATGACTAGGCATACGCAACACATGTCCTCACCATCTCAGTCTTTGTAACTTCACAACTTCGTCGATTGATTTCCCCTCCTTACCTAGAACTCGACACCTAACCTCAACATTGCTCACCTTAGTATACCACTTCACACGGGAGATAGAACGCAGGCACCTATGATCAAAGACAGCTAATCTTTTCAATTCTTCCACTCTCAATGGCCAGGTGTCATAGCCATAAAGGAGGACGGAGCGTACTGCTGGGCAGTACACATGCCCTTCGTTCGGTAGCCGGATGTCACATCTACGCCACAGACGGCGTAAACTGGCATACTGATTTGATTTCTGATACCTGGGTGATAATTCCACAGTTCTCTTCACCCAGGGTGATTTACAAGTTTTGGTTTAGAGGAATTCGATTGACTTGAAGACTGATCACTAACTGACTTCAGTAGGCGAACCATTGAAAACCAGAGAGAACTGGACAACTGTTTCGCAATTGTTTGGGACTCTCCATCACTACGCACCCATGACCTCATAGTGTCCGATCCCAGAACTTTCAGGTCACAAGGCAAGGTTGTTGACCCTTCAGACACTGAAACGGAATCCAATGACCCATTAGTTCTACCTCCTATCAATTTGCGATATATATATATATATATATATAAATCGTGGCCACCAGCCAATATCATTAGCGAGTGTTTGTCCTCACGTCAAGTGTAGTGAACTTAACTGATCACCACGTGTAACTAGAAGTCCAGACAACTCTCTTGTAGTTAGTCACTGGTGTACATTAGATTAGGGGGATTTAATTAGTCAGGTCGTACGTACCTCCTACGTTTTAGACAACAGGTATCCTTAATGTGATAAAATGTAACTGCGTAGCTTTACTACTCATGTTCATACACTGGATACGAAACCACAATTATTATACAATAAATGACGCCACTATTGGGTTACTGAAACCTCTACAGATAGGCAGCTTAATAAACAAGCATTAACACTCGCACAGTTAAATGGATAAATTTATGTATATTTATTTATTTACTTTCAAACACAGATATCTTATCGACAAAGCCAAAGCTGAAAAGGATTGGGAAGAAGCTGTACCCTATGAGAAAAAGACTAGAGGAAAAATTTTCACGCCAAAGCAAAATCTATCAGAAAATGCTAAAAATGAATTATCTGATATGGGCTTCGATGTAGAATTTGATGAAGATGTTAACAAGGTAAATTGAATTCTTAGAAATAATAATAGCTCAGGTGGATAGTTTTTATATGATTGCATCCCTCCTACCTGTGTGATTTAATTGTGAAGCTTTCATTTTGTCCCTCTAGACAACATTTTATGGAATACGGCCATACGGTAGACAATTTTGAATTCCAAGTCGATAAAACCGACCAATAGTAATGCAGATTAACAACCAATCACGACTATGGTTGTTACGTGGTATATAATAATAATAGTAATAATATCGTTTATGACGAATTCAAATGAGAAGTTCACTGCGTATTTCAAGTCTATGCTGAAAATGTCTAGTTGGAAACTGAAAGCTTCGCAGTAATAATAACAGTAATAATAGCTTTATTCTGAACAATATTTATAAAATGTACGTAATTTTTCGCGAAGTTTATTGCATGAAAATTTCCCTTCGTCCAGGATCATCAAATGAATGACTAATGGGCAGTAGATTGTGTGACATACTTCTATCTGATCTGAAGAGCAAACTAATCTATATATAGAAAAAATCCCCATTTAGACATTTAGAAAACAGAAAGATTGAGCGAAGAAATATTTACTTTTCAATTAGATCCTCATCTCTGGCTCTACTCTAATATATATCCCCATAGCACTTTTATCACAATACACGACAGTTCACCAGTCAAGTGGCACCAATATGTTTGTTAACAATAATTAAACAGTGTCAAAATGTCAATGGGTTGATAATTAACGAAGCAAATCACTACACATTTATAAGGTAGAAATGGTTAGAATAAATTAATTTTACAAGGATAACATGTAATTGAAGATGAAGTGGTCGAAATAAATAAAAAATAAAATAATTTGGACAATTATAATTTTAAAGGTTTAGGGGGAGGGGGGCGAAGTAGTCCCGTGTATACATTCATGTAACGATGGCCAAGGAAGGTAAGGAAAGTTGCTGTACAAATTTCTTCTGAACACACAGGTTTGGCTTGTTCTTCAGGTGGATTCCTATTGCTTCAGCAAAATTAAGATTAGTAGGAATGCGATAAATACTTTTAAATGCAGCATTAACGTCAACCTTATGCTCGGTATCAATAAGGGTGGGCTAAAATAGAACTACGAATAGATCTTGTTTGTCCCTTACTTAACCACGTTGGATGATGTTCGGAAATACGACGATGAACTGACCTAATTGTACGCCCGATGTAGCTGGCTCCGCAGCTGCAGTCAAATCGGTAGATACACATAGAAGAGGCAAATTTAGGTAGTTTATCCTTATTTCTCGAATATAGAATAGGGGTGGTTGTGAAGAGACAACGTACCTCTGCTGCATAATAAGCTCTTTTAACTGCATTCTTCAGGTGCTGTGTTATTATTTCGCTGATGTTGTCACCGAGGAAATGCAATTTTATGAACATTGGTCTTTTTGGAACTGTAGACATATGAACTCTCCTTTGTGCTGAATTCATATTTTTCTCAATGAATTTATCTGGATAACCATTTCTTCTAAGTAATTGTCTAATAATCTTAAGCTCCTCATTGAGGCAGCCGTCTGAACAGATTAATCTAGCTCTATGAACCAGACACTTTACCAGGTTACGTTTATACTTCAAAGGTACAATACTCTAAAAATGAGTGTACTGACCTGTTGTTGTAGATTTCCTACACACACACCTTCTTAGTATGCCATCTTTCCTTGCCACAGAGAACGAAATTAATGACAGTATCACATTACTATATATATATGTGATATATCTTCTTCTTCACCCTCAAGAAATACGTGACATTTGGCTGAATTTGGATTATAAAGGGTTCAGGAGTACATTTTGTGAACCAAGAACACCATTCAGAAATGGTCATTTCATGTATTGGGATAAGGTATCATCGAGAAGAATGCTTTTTCACCTCATGTTTAGTAGAAACTTGTTAATTGGCAGGTTGTAAATGTTTTAAATACTCGCCAAAGTATAAACAATATTGTTAGAAGTCATTGTACTAGATTTAAACAAAGTGAATAAGAGGGATTATATACAGTACATATGAATGGAGACTTTTCGATAGCCCAGGTTTTAAGCAGGCCGCCCAATCAACCATATCAAAAAGTAACTGAGTTCATATGTGTCTCAAGACTGTATCTCATCACTGATTCGAAGAATAAAACTCTTAATAAATAGTTCATCGATTGTTTATTCAACCTCATAGTTTATCCAATGAACTCTTATTAATTTTTAGGAACTGAGTTATGCTTAAGAGCTCAAAGCGTGGTAGTCAGTACATGGAACAATAATTGTACCGTATGCATTTCTCCTAAAAGTAGTAGGAGTCTTAAGCATTAATATTATACAGTCTAACTGACTGATAGAGTTTACACAGAAGTACAGCAGTTCAGGTTGTTACAATACACAAATAACACACAAAGGCACAGAAAAGATAAAAAAACAGATTCAAAAGAACTGTAATTAGCAGAAATATGCAGGAGAGAGAATAGGAACATGGGAAAACATGAGGGTTTAATAGATCTAGGAGATTGCAGAAAGTGAATGCATCTCTGCAACTGAAGGCGATTTTGAAGCATATCACTAATCATTTGGTTGATGGTGACGAGCATTGGAATCCAGGAGGCGTTTTTCGTCCTATTTAATATTTTACATCTGGATGGACCTGCATATCCCAGTAAGTGATAGTGTTCCTACTGAGGCTCGAACCCAGTGCCCATAGTTTCATCAGACCACTTGGGCCACTAGAGCCGCCTCTTGTACAACGGGTATCAGTTATTGTTTAGTTCAATTTCATCTATCCCATTGATTGATTGGAACGAGATGCTCGGCCTCTGTTGTGACATGTCAACTTCTTGCGTATACATCCTAACAGGACAAAGTTCTCATCCCAGATTCCTCTGCTAGTCAACATCCACCAAATTACCTCAGGTTAAATCTTCAGACTTTGTTGAAGCATCCACTCAAGGAGCCGACATGTCAACAGTGTTGAATACTTCAGTCTAATCACTTAACAGGAAATTCCAAATTGAATTAAATGATATCACCATTTGTCTCCATCCATTAGTTCTTAGAATCCCAAGGTTTACACTTCCCCACGTTGTTGGCTCAAACCAACTGTCAAAAACTTCATGGATTGATGCCACTTCTATGTCTCTCCCGACTCAGTCATATCTCAGCTAATACTGTTTTTTAGGAAGGCAGTGACTCGGCATATGCTGCACGTGTTTTAGCCATCCTAATCAATGTAGTTTCACAACCTCATTGACTGACTCTAACCTTCTTACCTAGCACTCAACACCTAACTTGAATATTATTCACCATAATGTAATAATTAACATCTATGGTTGAAGACAGCTAAACTTTTTTCGTATCATCCCTTTTCAATGTCCATGTCTTACAGCTGTGAAGCAGAACAGAGTGGACGTTATAAATTATGATGTGAAATTTGACGTAGGCTCGTATGCATCATATGCGTGCTGTCTGAAGATGGCAATTGAAAATATAGTGCTATTCTAAAGTGATTTTATTTGAATGGAGATAAGAGTTACTAGACGATATTATTTAATATTAATAGGTAAAAGAGTGTTATAAAGTATAGGCTGTCTGCTAAGAAATATGAAAGTCAGTCGAATAGTGTATAACTGGGGAACGTTACAATCTCCGTACTATGGCATGCCACATTAATATACTATACTAACTGAAGTAAGACTAATTTGAGAGGAAGTAATAAAAGTCAGGTCAAGTGATCCACAACGGAAAAGTCAATGAGGTTTTTGAAGTGAATACAAAAGTAAGGCAAGCCTGCCCGTCTACTGTCACCGATGATATTCCTGATTGTAGTGGACCGCATTGTGCATCAGACTGTGCACAGGAAGTGAGAAGACGGGAACACGTTGAACCGATAAGAAAGCTGTAGAAGATCTGGATTTTACGTGTGGATGGTTTATGTTTGATGTCACACAAACTCGAAGACTAACAGGTGAAAACCAACAGACTGGTCGAAGAGGCGAACAGCGAAGGTAGGACTCCAGGAGAACATAGAGAATACTGAGGTGATGAAGATAACCAACCAACAACGACAACCAGCACCAATCACCATTAACGGGAGAGATTTGGCAGAGGATACTTCCTTCCTTCACTTATCTAAGAAGCATCGTTTGAACGATGGGTAGTGGGAAAGGATGAAGATGTCAAAGCCAGTCAGCCAGAATGGGAAAGGCAAGAAATGCCGTCATCAAGCTGAAACAGGTTTGGAAATCTGCACTGATTCAGCATAAGGAAGAAGATTCGGATTTTCAACACCAATGTGAAGTTGGTGCTTCTATAGTGATCAGAAAGTTGCACTGCGTATTACGAAAAGAATTTCGAACGCCACTGCAGATCTTTATCAACAATCGCTTTCGCTCTGTGTTGAAAATCAAATGGCCAGTGAGAAGAAATTAGCAACAAGAAACTCTGGCTGAGAACAAAGCAGCAAGCGAGATCCGATTGCTCAACATATATACAGAAGAAAATGGAGATGTATTGAGTATACACTCTGAAGGCCGTCAAATGACATCGCGTACAATGCAGGTTATCGCTCTAGTGTAATGCAAATGGAAAGTGACGAGTTGGTCGTCAGTGCGAGGGTGATATGGAGGGCATTGTGTTAGTTGCAGGAGATGAGAGACTGATGAGCAATCCTGGACCCAGTTGAAGAGGACAGCAGAAAATAGAACAAAGTGGAGATGTGTTGTTGAAGCCATATGTTCCACTCGAAACCTAAGGGAATAATAATAATGATTCAGTCAGGGGAATAAGATATAAGTTCATGCATGGGTTACTAAGCTTCGATTCGAACAATGTGTAAATTTACTGAACAACGTTCACGTAACACTTCCGTCTTGGTAGGTGTTACAGGCATATTCATGGTTGATCTTCATACCATCTGCAATGTTACATTTCGCTCTATTTGATTCACTGTTTTTGTCCTAAGGCCTAGTTTATACTCTATTATACTATGTTGACTATCCTTTGCGCTTTGCTCGCCTTGTTTCTCACTTATTACTGCTACACTTTATTACTAATTATTATTTTAATTACTCACCGAAAATGTGCTTAATTCTTATTCAAGGCTCTTGAAAATGCTACAGAAGATGAATTAGTCGATTTGGCTGCAGTTTTGGGTTTCACTGGGATGTTGAATCAAGTACAATTTCATGCCAGTTTAGAAGGTCGTAAAATGGAGTTCGGTGGATTTTCCGGTGTAGCTAAAGCTGAACGTCCAAAAATTTTACCAGATGAACCGCCTAATTCTACTGATGTAGAGGTGAGATTTTTATTTTCTGAGGCTAATTGAATTTTCTTACATTCACTCAAGCAATTACTGAACATTTAATTATTTTAATGTAGCATTATATCATCTACACTATGTAGAGTCAGTCTGAGGTGTCTGGCTGACTGAAGTAAGAATTTTTCCTTAGTAAGTCACTCTTTCGGTTTACCTGAGATTTTTTCTAACCACTTATTGCTATTTGAAGCCAAAGTAAATGAATTTTTACCAGGTTGTCGAGCTACAACTGGAGATACATTTTGCTATATAGTACATATACCCTTTTACAGATGAAATCAGAAAAAGTCAAAGTACATTGTTTAGTGGAAGCTGTGTTGAATCGTTTAATCGCCATTCGCTATAATCGAGACTAGCTGACATCCGTAAGCTGAATTTTGCAGATTCACCTTGTTCACTAAGTGGGGTTCAATTAAATAAACCACACTCGCATCTTGCATGCGTGTCTGCGAAACACAACATACATGCGTGACATGGCTCTAGATACCAGAGTTGTGACTAACGATGCCTGTTACCCGATTTGTTAGAGGGTACTGACGTTAAATGCGCCAAAATGTAGCTGGCTGTGTAGCTGTGAGAAACTCCCGGTAGTGTTTTCCTGGCTGTGATCGCTATTAGTGGTAAAAGACTGAAAGGAAGATGACTGCTCAGGCTGGAGAATAATAGTGACAGTAGTAGGGAAAGAAGATGATGAGGATGATGTTGACGAAAGAGAATGGTGATTATGATAAGGGTTTTGTGTGCTTCTGGAAGTGTGTGAATGGTTGTTACTTCGTGGCTGTCCACACTGTGGAAGTTGATTTTTCCTTGGGGTGCCTGAAAGGGAAATAGTGTTGCGTGATCACAGAGCCCAGGGGACAACTGCCTAAGGCCGGTCACACAGGGGCTTTCCGAACTAGCTTTTTGTTTTGGTTCCGTATTAATAACTTAGCGCCAACTATGGACTACCGTAGGGTAATTTGGGATGTACAGTTGTTGGGTTCGACCTTTTCCAACCCCCTCTTTCCAGAGTGGAGAGACAGCATAGCTGGCATACTGGTCTTCTGAAGGAAACACTTCACTGCTATTACATCCCTATTCTCCAGCAGTACGACTTCGCCCATAGACCCTTAGCCTAGTGTAAAAGAAAATCTTACACTATATTGGTAACTGCTTTTAGTCTAATCGCTATCCTAACAATCTTCCTGGCATGTTAGGACCTGCAAGAACAATAGTTCCAGCCAGTGTAGCTTGTTGTGTCATTGCGATATGCAAGCCCGACCACCACGTGAAGGTAGCAGCTATCGGTCGGTATAATTGAGAAGATTTGTAACTCAGGTGGATCTGCTTGATGCTGTTGTTTCTTCTGAACCTGAATAGATCAGTGGTTGTAGTACTGAGTGATGCAGATTAGAATCTCAGGGACTGTTAATTAAGTCCCTCTGTGGAGATATTGACTCATCAACCAAAGTACTAGACTTTCAGTTATCGGATGTTGAGTTTGAATCGTGGTCCACCTACCTCAGTCCGGGAGTTTGGGTGGTATCATCAGTTCTGTACAATATTATTGTGGCTCATGGCCTGGAAAATCGAAGTTGTCTTCCAGAAACTGAGTTCAAACAATAACTGAGCCATATGGTTTAATTACAAGGCTTTCATTTCAAATATAACTATCATCTTCAACATCAAAAGGAAGTGAGCCTTTGAAATTCACTGTCATTGTTCGTCTCTCTAATGTTCATCTTATCATTGTGTTCACTTATTCTGGTAATGGTCATTTCGTTGACATGATATTCAATCTTGGTCTTCATTGCTTGATAAATCTTATATATGTAAACATTCCGCTTATTTTCAGATTATTCTGAATTGTAGGATTTTAGGAATAATTATCTGGCGCTTTTAATGTACCGTAGTGTTATCGTAGTTGTTCACATACATTGATATAAAAGAAGAGATACAATAACTTTTGTCTACTAGTTTAATACCTGTGGGTGTAAATATCACTATACAAATTTTAGTAGTAGATAATAGTTTCCCATGATTGCTTACCTGTTCAAAATGATCCAACAATACATAAATTGTTTCATTTGGTCCTCCTAGCTCACAAATGTTGGTTGAATCACAGTAAAACTATAGTTATTATAGATGACAACAACAATACCAGGCTGTCGTTTCTGTCCTTCGAGTCGAGGCTGAGCTCATTACCACTGTGCCTGGTTTATCTCAGTTCAGAGAGTGGAATCATTTCAAACCCATCAGGATTCCGGCTACCCACTTGGGTGAACTGGTAATACACATTGGACTGAATTCATGATTTGCAAATTAATTCTCTATGTGCAATATTTATACAGTTCTAGTGGGTGAAATTTCACCACAGTTTCCTTTGGAAACAGAAATCAATCAGATCACAATGGATGTTGGATCTGCTTGATACCATGAGTGGTAATCATAAGTGACTACTATTCAAGTGTTGTTTGCAGGGATTTGATTTGTTTCAGGATTTTATCATGAACTGACATTACCTCGAATGGGAAGTCGTAACCAGTGGCCAGTGGGGTACAGCAACTCGGGTGTGAGGACAAATACTCACCAGCGATGACATTGGCTAGTGCCAGTCGTGCCAAATCGTGAATTGGCAGAAGTTGAAATTCATGGGATGGCCATTGGATCGGGTCCCAGCGGCCTACTGATCTACGAGCTAGCCTTGTAACTAGAAGTTCCTGGGTTCGAACCCTGGCGGTGGGTGCGTACTGATGAAGAGTCTCTAACTAAGCTGAAGAGACAGCTGTCCAGTACTTCCTGCAGGTTTTTTAATGGTTCTCTAATCGATATCAGCTCATGATGAAATCCTGGCAACTGATTTACTTGGCAGATTCACTGTCCGATAAAGTTATAAGTAGTGCTAAATGATCTTGTCTTCAGCGGAATTTATTTGACACTGACTAAACTAAAAGACCTTAGAATTGTATTTATTCTCCAGTAATGAGTTTGATTTATTGTTTTTATTTCTATAATCGATGAATCTGGTCGGGAGAATGAGCGTAACCACTGTCCGGTGTTTAGATCGCCTTCATATGGTTGGCCAGTAAGCACTACTTGCTTATGTGAATGGTATCCAACTGGTCATCTACACTTACGTATTCGGCATTCAAAAGACAGACTTGAAGGTTAATCGCGGTTCCCCTACAGGGTTCTTATGTTCATACGCTTGATAGTTAAATGACATATTATTTATCGATTAGTATGCACTTGTTAGCTCTCGTTTTTCTCCTCACACATATATGTTCATTAAATTTCCTTTCTGTATTGGATGCTAATTTATTCGTCTTCTCTATGTTCACCTGATGTGCTGTCTTCTCACTCCCCCACAGTCTGGCGCATGAGAAGACAGAAATACGTTGGACTGATAAGAAAACTCTAGAGGATCTGGATTTCGCCTGTGGCAGATTTATGTTTAATGTTACACAGGCTGGAAGACTTGCAAGCGAAAACCAGTAAATTGGCAGACAAGGTGTGCGGAGAAGACAGGACTCCAGGTGAACTGAACAGTAAAAGTAAAAAGTAAGGTGAACTTAGGGAAGACGGAGCTGTTGCAGATAGCCAACACACCAACCAACCAATAACAACAACCAGCACCAGTCACCATCAATGGGAGAGATTTGACAGAGGTTACTTCCTACCTTCACTTATCTAGGAAGCATTACTTTAACCACAGGCACTGGGGACGGATGAAGATGTCAAAATCAGCCACCCAGAGTTGGAAAGGCAAAATTTGCCGTCTTCAACCTGGAAGCGGTTTGAAAATCTTCTGCATTCCGCAGCATAGACAATAAAATTTAGATTCTCAACACAAATGTGAAGTCAATCAGTTCTTCTTTGTGTGTCAGAAAGTTGCACTGCGTGTCAGGGAAGGCATCTTTTTAACAGGACACTGCAGACTTTCATCAACAGCTTCCAGCTGAGCTGGCTCGATACTGAAGATCAAATGGCCGGTCGAAGAGAATTAGCAACAAGAAACTCTGGTTGAGAACAAAGCAACCAAGAGCCAATTGCCCAACAAACTTGCAGAAGAAAATGGAGATGAATTGGTCATAGGTTGATTAGGCCATCAAATGACATCGCGCGCAATGCGGTTCATTGGTGTAGTGGAATGCCATTCGTTAGTGACTAGGGGGTCATCGCTTCGAGGGTGTCAAGGAGGAGATCGTGGGATGGGAGTAGCAGTTAAGAGATTATGGGCAATGTTGGACCCAGGTGGAAAGGAAAACATAAAATAGAAGAAAGTGGGGATGTGTTGTTGAAGCCCTATGTTCCACTTGTAACCCAAGGGAGTAATCACAAATAATGATGATAATTTACTCAAGAATCATAGATATTTCTTCCTGACTTTTATTATTTAGGTTTCGACTTCAACCGGTAACCGACCAGTTTTGTGTGTGTGTGTGTTTCGTTTTAGTTTTCTTCATCCCATTTTTTTTTCGTTTTTTTGGGTTTTAACAGGATAGTATTAAAAAGTTGGAAGAGAATAATCCAGAGTTGACCAAATTAAATTTGAATAATATCAAGACAATGAGTGCTGAAGTTGTCCAGCGTCTTTGTGCTGCTATTACAAAGAATACAAAATTGATTGAATTACACATGGCAGCTACGCGTTTAACAAATTCAATGATTGAACCATTCTTTGATATGCTACAAAAGAATACAACACTGAAAGTATTGAATTTAGAGTCGAACTTTTTAACGGGTTAGTTTGTCAGTATATATTACTATTATTATTATTATTATTATTATTATTATTACTATTATTATTATCGTGATTATTCCCTTGGATTCCCAGTAACACATAGGGTTTCAAAACTGCCTATCCATTTCATTGTATTCTCTTCAAACCCACATTTCACACGATTTCCTACATGTCACCTGCCGACCTATGCCCAAGTGGGTTGGTTTCCCATTCTGACTGCATTCTTGTGTAGGCGTGTGTGTCCAATCCATCTTCGTTTCCTTCGGGATATTTGTTGTGTTCGTGGTTGTCGTCTGTCTGGGTGATCTCAGTAGACTGTTGATTCTCCAGTTGACATTTTGGAGAGTTCACTTTTACTTCACCTGCCGCTGTCACACATTCTTAACCATTCTGTACCATATCTTTTCGTTTCTTTTGCAATCTCAACTGCCTTACCATTTTCACACGTAGTTTGGATATTCCATGTTCCAATCATTATTTTTGGTCTAATCAGAAAAAGATACTGACTGACTGGTTTCAACGTAGAACTTTGCACAGATGTGCAGCAGTTCAAGCTTCCACTCTCCGTGTAGCACACAAAGCAAGAGAAGAGAGTAATGAGAGATCAAGAAGAGAAATAATAAACAGAAATGTGAGGCAAAAAGAATAATAATATCGAAGGGCGATAGAGTTTCACTGGATATTATAAATTACAAGGAGTGGACACATCTGCGCCAGCCGTTGGCAACGAAGATTGTCTCCAGCCTTCATTGGTTCTTACCATCCCGAAGACTCTAACCAGTCAGAAAGTCTGCACCTGCCAAAGTGGCTGGCTTAAACTAACTGTTGTGGATTTCATTGACTGATGAAAAGTTGTTTTAGTTTCACGACCACTAGTTGTTTTCCAACCCGATCCTATATCAGTCAGCTGATACTGCCAGTCGAGGAAGGCGATGGCTATGAATGCATGCAGAACACATGTCTCCTTTCTTGTATATCGAGATAATCAATGACTTGCACCAGTCTAACAGGACAATCTCTGATTCCGAGATGGTGCCTAATACCTTAGTTAGCCTAAACAGTAAATTGTCTCCAGGGTCCTTAGACACGTCAATTCATCCCATCAGGTTGCGTTGCTTTGTCTCGTTTCAGATTAGAGACAACTTTTGAAACCTCAGTTAGGGGCGGAGAATGGGTGTTTATGTTTCATTTGGGGTTTTCTTTTCGCAGCAGACTAGACAGCTTTTGGTAGAAATCGCCATTTAATTCGTCCGAACTGCAGTCAGCCGGGTCGTAAGTGGAGACTACGTAGTGACATCGACAGTTAACCCAGTTCTTCCTTTGCCTAACAGATCAGTTTAGACGGACCGTACCCATACGATCAAATACTGTGATCGAGTGAAGAAGGGATTTTTCCGCCGTAGCACTGAATGCTATCTTTACACCCGTGAGTCCTCGCAAACTAGCTGAAAAGTCTCCTGGCTCCCTTAAGGTGAATTTTGCAGATTCACCGTGTTCACTAGGTGGGGTTTAAGTGGATGATCACACTCGCGTCTTGTATGCGTATTCGGAAACACAACATACATGCGTGACATGGCTCTAGATGCCAGAGTTGTGACTAACGATGGCTGTTGCCTGATTTGGTAGAGGGTGCTAACGTTAAATGTGCCAAAATGTAGCTGTCAGCACGGCTTTAATAGACTCCCAGTAGTGTTTTTCTGGTTGTCATCGCTATTTGTTGTGACAATAAAAGGAAGATGACTGCTCAACCTGTAGAATAGTAGTGACAGTAGTAGGAAAAGAAGATGATGAGGGTGATATTGATGAAGGAGAATGATGATGATAAGGAGGACTTACTGTGCTTCTGGACGTGTGTGGATGGTTGTTACTTCCCGGCTGGCCATACCGTGAAAGTTGATTTTTTGATGAAGAAAAATGATGCAGAGTTTACAAATTGAATAGGTTCCATAGCAAGTCAGGGCAGCGGTAGTGCCTGGACATGTCTCTTCTGTACATGGGACTCTGTAATTTTTTAGGCAATTATTATGACCTCTGTTGTTTTGGAGTATTCAGTATCTTCGTGGCTCTAGTGAAAGCGGTCAACAGTTAGACCACTTGGTCCCAGCAAGTGTGGGAAGTCTAGTATTTTTTTATCATATATTGAGTACCAAATAAATACTGAGAGATAAGTACTTATAGATTCGCTTCCACTATTATCTGTTACTTTTGGTGATTCAATGTTACTTTAAACAACAATTGTTTACTGATTATAAATATTCATTAATAATACCCATTCGAACATTAGTGGACAAAAGACAAGTAGTTCAGCGAAGAGTCTCTTTTCGGCGAATTCATTTTCATAGCTGTACAATCGCAAATATATATGGTTGTTTTGTGTGTGTGTGTGTGTGTGTACACATTAAATTTGTCAAACGAAAATACAATTAGTAAGTTCAGATGAATTGGATGTTGATAAGAGAATAGTAACAAAAGTGATGAGTTGTCAAAAACGATTGTTAAATAAGAGTTACGTAATGGCATGAATAGTTTGATGAAAGAGTTGTGCTCAGGGTGTAGATGGAAACAAAATAATATACAGAATCACACAAGGGTTTTAAGTTAGAAAAATAAGCATACAAACAGAAGTAAGGTCAAATCAACGGAGTTGTTACCATGCGAGTAGAAGTGGTTGGATAATTTTCTTCTGTATGCATAGTTCTGGTTCCACCAACTGAATGGCTAGCGCTTCTGTGATGCAAAGAAGGCGGAATCGTACTGTCTTTGGAAGGTTGTTCCTCACTTGGTAGATTACTTTGAAGGAGGCGTTTGTTGAGATGGAATGACCAGTGTTGACGAGATGTTCGATTATAAATATATAACTGTAGAACCTGATGAAAAAGTTATCGAAAAGGATATTTTTTGTGCCCAATACAGTCTTACAGGAGTGCTTTAAGTGCTAGTACGATTAGCTCATTGGTTGGTAACGTCTCTGACTGCACGTGGTACTGCGTTACCCCGGTTCGAATCTCATAAGGGACATGAGCTGTTCCTTCAAGATTGCAGATACGCCCTCCTTGCTGACTAGTGCCAACGAACACGAAACCTAGATCCACAAATTCCTACCGATTTCTTCCAGCGCTTAACATTAATTCAGAGTGCACCGTGATACCGAGTCACGTAGCATAGTAGTGGTCAATCCACATCAAACAAAGGACTAGACACGTGAAAGTAGTTAGTATGCGAGTATCCAATCAAAGAATATTTTCTGTTAACTGAGTCATCACTCTGTTAAAATGTTTACATGGGCCTCTTTAATTAACTGTGTATGTTGTAATTGTTCTCTGTATTCCATTTAGGTGTTATTCTTGTTCGTCTGTTGGAGTCAATAGCTCATGAAAAAAGTGGTATTACTGATTTACACTTGGCTAATCAACGTCAGTCTGTACTGGGTGTAAAAATTGAACAGAATTTAACTGAATTGATATTGGCTAATCCACGACTTGTTCGTTTAGGCCTTGATTTAGACACAAGTGATGCACGTGTACGCACACGAGAACATGTCAAAGCAAATTTAGATCGTGTCTCCCGACAAATTCGACGGAATAAAAATTAACATTGATTTATGTTCGTTACTATACATACACAGACTGCACATATACACATATATATATGTATACATATATATATATATATAGTACAATATATAGTATATAGTACATATATAACCTGCTAAAAAGTTGATTCCTCTTATAAGCCTTCTTTCATTCATTTCTGCCTTATTTTTTCGCCTATTTGTACCTGTTTCGTTATATTTCTAGTAACCTATTGACTCCTTTTTTTAAAAAAAATTTTTATTGTTTTGCTTCATGATTGTTTCGGAATTAATTCATAGAATAAGGTTATTTTGTTGGAAAGCCTACCGAATTGTGTGCATGTGTGTTGGTATGTAAAAGTGGTTGTTCTGTGTATCCTTGTGTATGTTGTGTCGATTTTCTCTCTGTCAGACAGACAGACAGACATTCGCCCTTGTTGTCTCTGTACACGTGTCGTATATCCGTATCACATTGTACCTTGTTAGCTTTTATCAATCTGCAATGCTTATTTCATTACTTCACTGTTCATCCGGTAGTCTTATTGATTCAGAGAGGACTGTTTTTCTATCCGTATGTGATACACAAGTATTTCTTGTTTCTTTTTTCTCTCATTAAGTCACTCATGTTGAGTGGTGTGGCTCTTAGGCTGTTGGTCTGAGCTCTTCACTTCTCAGTATTCGATCACGCGTTCGAAACCCGCTTCACCTGCGCCGAGTTAACATCATTAACCCTCCTCAATAATCCAATAGTTATGGCTCATCATTTGCCCTAACTGTGCATGGAATTACAAATAGTTGTTGGTTGGATAACATTTCATTTTTTACATTGCCCCCCACTCCGACACACACACAAGCATACTTTCTACCCCTTCCTTGGAAATCAGTATTGTATAAGAGACAGAAGAAGTTTGATCACCTCATATATCCGTTTAACTTCATTTACCCCTCCCCCCCTGAATACCGCGTAGCTGTTTGTCTTACTGCTTTCACATCACAAAACTATTTAGTCATTTCTCTTTCATTTTGTTTAAAACTTTCACCACTTTAATGATTTCATGCGAATTTACTGAATTGTTGTCAGCTTTTAACTGATTATATAATAGTAGTAATAATATTTATTATTTTGTGCATTTGTCTTCACTGAATCCTTGACTGTTCTTGTTTTTATATGTCTGTTTTTCTGAGCGAAACAACACAATTGATCTGGTTTATCAAAACAAGATAGATGGAAGTTGGTAGTCGTCGCCTTTCATGATTATTATTATCGCTTCATTCTATCCTTCTCACCACCATGCGTGTATGCATCCTTCACGCTCGCTTAGCACTGACAGAAGTAGTAGCAACTGTAGTAGTCACTTAATGCTTTCCCGACGACAGTTTGTTATCCAAGTTGTTGTTATTTTTTCATCTTCTTTGTAATACCACCTCCTGTGAGAGTAAATTAGTAGTCATTCAGTGTCTATGATTATTATTATCATTTAAATATATACTATACACAGTCATCAATATATATCTATTTCTTTTCTTTCCCAGTTGTAAGGTATAAAGTTGTGGTTCTTTAAAGGAGCTTTTGTTTAGTTTAAACTGCTTCTTAAAAGTGTTATATGGCTTTTTTTCAAAAGTTACTTGATGTATGTGCATTTCCAGCGTATGTACTCTCTCTATTGGGTCGATAGTGTGTATGACTCTAGAGCAGTGGAAACCAGGGCATGCACATTTCCTCCAGTCAGCTGGATTTATGTGATGACTGGAGTTACTTACCTTATTGCGCTATTTAATCTGTCCTAATCGCATGTCAATAACAATAATGCCGCCGGGCAGCAAAAACAGAAGAAAATAAGAGTGGATGTTGATAAGAGAGCTTTTAGTGTCTGAAAACAGCAGTCAAAAAATGTTGACAGCGTTTGCGTATATGTATATACATATATGTTTAAAATGACCTTGAGAAGCACTAGTGTTGCTGATAAATTAAGACAGTGAACAACCAATAGGATTCCAAAGGTCATAAGTAGGCTGTGCGAAAATCAGGTCATAAATCAATAAGTGGGTTGAGAGAAATGCGAACAGGCATATAGGAAATTAGGTCTGTGTATATGAATTCACCCACCATCCTCAGTGAGTAATGGTGTTCCCAGTTAGACTCAAAGTCTAGTCACGTCGATCCAAACGCCAAAGCACTATCCTATCCGCGAGGGTCAAGAGAGAGCTCAATGAATGTCACTTATTATTTGTTTACGTTTTCTTTTTCCCGTTGATTGATACCGTTTTTACAAAAGGGGTGGCTTTTGTGACCTGAGTCTTCTAGTAGCAGATAACTCCTTGTCATTTTTAAACGATTGGTTTTGGGTTCGAGTCTCAGTGGGAATAACGTCACTAGTCATCATCCATCAAATAAACACATTACTTCTAAAAAAATTGTTTAAGCTTTGGTATCAACAGACGTTGAAAATCTCAGTCCAGTCAGTCAACGGGTGATACAAAATTGACTTCCATAAGTACTTTCGATTATGTGTTATATTCTCACGGAAGGAGGATGTCAAAGTTGATGGTTATTTTTGATTCTATGTTTAACTGGTGAGATGTTGAACTTTCGAGTATATTAATTAGTACTGTGACGGTAAAATACTTCTAGCAAAATATATAACTGTTTTGAAACAACGTTTTAATGGTAGTCAATGACTGCTATGACAAGTTTTGGAAAAAATCAGCAAATTAAAGAAACATACGAATAGATCACAAGGTTTGAGAAAGACTCTTCAAAACGAACTTTAAGGTGTTGACAGGCTAGGCTGTTTATTCACCAATCAAACACGATACTTCCTTGCGAAATAAAATACAAACTGCCTAAAATTTCCATGCATTTAAGCGTTGGCTTCAAGATTCCATGATGAACTGACATCGGTTGGAGAACAGCTGAAGAACCTGTAACGACCTAGTTTGTGACTCTTTAGCAGTACGCACCCGCCAGGGTTCGAACCCAAGGCCTGATCGTAGACCATACTCTGGCGGTCGTGCCATATCGTGAATTGACTGAAGTTGTGATTCATGCACTGGATCGGATCCCAGTGGCTTAATGTCCTACGAGCTTGCCTTGTAGCAAGGAAGTCCTGGGCTCCAACAGTGGTGGGTGCGTTCTGCTGAAGAGCCTCAAGCTAGGCCAATGGAACAGTTGTCCGATACTCCCTAACCGGTTTTCTAATGGTCCTCTAACCGATGTCAGTTCCTGATGAAATCCTGATTACTATGTGTACCAATCTAACTGCTTCTGTGGAGTTAGTTGCGTTGACTTGCACAGTCTCAGCATATGGAACTTTGCACACAGAAGTACAGCTTTTCAAGGTGCCACGCTCCATATAACGCACAAAGTTAGAGAAAGGAGAGAAAAAGCAGAGATTTAAAAGAACTGTACTGAGTAAAATGTACGAGAGAAACAGTAGTAACATAGAAAATGTACAAGCTTCTAATTGAAAGGGTGAAATTACAGAGATTCATGAATAATCCCCATCCGGATGTTAATGAAAAACAAAACACGTAGTTCAGCGAAGATTCTCTTTCCGAAGGCGAATTAATTCACTTAGCTTTAGAATCACAATTAAATATGACTAGTTTTGTATGTGTGTACATTAGCTTTGTAAGATAAAAATTAGTTAAGGTTCTTGCTTACGTCATCAAAAAGTGTGATAAATAGTCAGATTTTAACTAGGTGAGGGAATATTAGTGTCAGGTTAGTGGTAATGAGTTGTCAATGTTAGTCAATGCATAAGAAAAGTTGAATAAGTAAGTGTATTGTGGTTGCGTAATAAGATGAATAATTTAATGAGTAAGTTTTGATCAGGATTGATATGTATTTACATGACGTGTGTTTTGTTTTTGACAGTCTGTTATATTTTTCTATGTGTATATGGATCGATATTTCATTATAACTGACAATATGCTTTTGTCTGTCCACTAACTAAATAAACAATGTATGACCTTGTTATCACATTACATTGCAACCAATCATGGTAAGACGTTATCTTATTGGTTCATGTGTATTAGCCATTTTCACATATACTCTTGCTTTATCATTCTTGTACATTCTTGTGTTCCCACATTTCGTAACATTTCACTCACACACTTGTGTGACATATATTTTCCTTGTTTGGAAAATACAAGTATCATCGTAAACCTGGTGGTCTTCTGATTTCCCTCTTTCCGCGTCAGAACTATTAACTACTCGACGAGTACATAACAAGGATGTACATAGAAAAAAAGAAAAGTATGGAATCAAAGTTCTAAAGAAACACTACGGTTATAAGGAGTTAGAGAAGCAGGCACACAAACAACAAGTCAGTAGAAATTAACACGGTTCTTACCATGATAGTAGAAGTTGTTGAATGGTTTTCTTTAGTATTTATAACTCTGGTTTTCCAACTGAATATCTAAGGCTTCAGCAATACGAAGGCGTATTGCCTAGGTTGTTCTTGACTTTATAGATTACTTTGAAGGAGGCGCTTGTTGAGATGGAGTGGTTAGTGTTAACAAGGTGTTCGGTGGTCGAATCCTTTTGGATAGGATACTCTTCGAGCGACCAATGCAACTGACTCCACAGCAGTCGGAGAACTGATATAAGCATATAGAAGTGGTCGGACGAGAGATTTTGTCCTTAAGGACATTACTCTTAGCGTCGCTGTGAAGAAAGTTCTCCTCAAGGATGCTGAAAATCTCTTAAGGGTTTCTCAGGCTAAGTCTCCTTTGAAATCCAGGTTCACGTAAAGTTTGTTTTTTAGGAACTTTTAGTCTGACATTCATGTCCATGAATCTTAGTAGGTGTCTATTTTTGGATGAAGGTTTCTTTCAGGATATCCATTTCTGCTTTCATGGAGTCAGGACTGTAGGTGCGTTGGATTGTTTTGGATTTCGTTCACAGAGAGAATGCATCTGCACTATTGAAAATGATTTTGAACCATATCACAAATAGTCTCCAGCAGCTGATCCTTAGAATTCTAAGGATCGCAACCAGGCAGTCTATACCTCTTGTC